GCTCTTTTTCTTTATTCTATGATTGCTATTGGCAGTGCTTTAGGCATTTTCCTTAATATTATGCATTGTTTTAGGTTTATGTCTATGAGCACTATATATTTGTAAAAGTTGACTATTTCAGTCTCGCACCCCTACCCTGGTTTACTTGGTACATTTAATAGAATGGACAACTTAGAGATTCCAACCTGTAGTCTAATCCATACTAATTTCCTTTGTCAGATCTCTTAGGAAGAAATGTTCCTGATATAAGCAGAATAAGGAATAGAGTCCTGAGAGAAACTCAGGCTAATGGGGAGACCTGAACTCTCCATCAGTAAGCATTTATTAAGCACCTGCTGTATGCCTAAGGTTGCAATAGTGCTGTGGAGGCTATAAAACCTGTATAACAGCTCCTTTTAAGAGGACCTGAATGCTTTCTCAGGAGCTGGGTTTTCCTGTAAGAAACTACCAGCAGGTGCTGGGCTGTTCCATGGCGATGGGTGGCATTTGCATACAAACTGAGCCATGGGCCTCTGGAAGCCATTGCAGAGAAAAGAACAAAAATCTCTTAGCTTGGTCCAGCTGGTGTTGCTCAGTGGTTGAGCATCGACCCATGAACGAAGAGGTCCCTGGTTCGATTCCCAGTCAGGGCACATGCTTGGGTTGCTGGTTGGATCCCCAGTAGGGGGTGTGCAGGAGGCAGCCGGTCAGTGCTTCTCTCTCATCGATGTTTCTATTTCTCTGTCCCCTCTCCCTTCCCCTCTGTCTACAATCAATAAAACCATATTTTAAAAAAATCTCTTTGCTTGAAGGCTATGATATAGGCAAAAAGGCAAACTGGAGCTGGTATGTTTAGTTAGAGTCCAGAGAGCTTCATCCTTTCTTTTTTCCCCAGAGGTTTATTCTTTGCAAAACACTTTTATGTGTATTAATTTCATTTTAGCCTTGACACAATCCAGCAAGGGAGGCAAGGTGGGGATTATAAAGGGGGAAAGGATTTGTGAGAGATTTATGATATTGAAACAGCAGGACTTTATGACCAATTAATCTTCTGGTTGAGGGTGGGGGAAGTGTTGAGGATGACTCGCCCCCACTCACTCACTCACTTATTAAATCACCCGAATAGCAAATACTTCTATGTGTCTTGTCTGTGCTCTGGCACCAGGGTTCCACATTCCTGGCTGGGGCTACCAAGTAGCTCATAGTGCCATTGCCTGCGACAGGAAACAGTGGAGGAAGAACACTGGTGCTGACTGTCCTTCAGATTCCCACCTGCCTGCAGGACACCAAGGTGAAATTGACTCCTAGGTAATTTTACAGAAATGTTTGACTTTTGCAGGGCAGGGGTCTGGGATCTGAAATAGATTTGGAAATGATTGGCCTATAGGTGAAAGTTAGGACCTAGAGTGGGTTAGATGACTTGGGAAGATCCTGGTTAAGACATTTAAACAATCCTGAGCTTCAGTTTCTTTCTATGGGAAATGAAGATGATATCTACATCATAGACTATCTTAGATCAAATGAATGTGAGCAGACCTGAAAAACAGCAGAGCATTGTATAAACTGAAAATACTGTCACTGATATTTCATTGCTATAGTATCAGCATCTTCTCTAACCAGACAGCTTAGCAAATTCCTCAAAAAGACCAAAATTAATATTCCTCCATTGTCTCATCATCATTCCCTGCTTCCCCAGGAAGAGATCAAGAGCTAAATAGCAATAGGTCTCAATCTCTAGGCTTTGAGTAGAAACTGAGAATTTTAGACTAATTCATCAGTGTTCCTTAGATGTGAAAGGTGTGTGTGACAGGAACAGAGGCAGGATGGTTGTGCTTTTGTGCAGCTTGACTTCTAAAATTAATAGGAAAACATTTTTTCAGATATTCTCATCATTGAAAAGTGAGGGGAGGGGAAATTTAGAAAAAATTTGAGAGAAAAATTCAAGTTATGATCAGGAAACCCCCTGATTGTCAAAATGAAAGGCATGGGGGAAAGCCAGGATACCTTTAGAAAAATATTCAAAGCAAAGTTGGAAGATGCCAAATTTAGGAGCACTGTTTTGATTGAGTGAAAGCATGAAATAGGTGACAAAGAGGGGTTTTTTTAAGGTCTTTTTTTTTTTTTGTCATTTTCGGCTTTATAAGGTTCTGGTTTAAAAACAACTTTCTTAGATTCCTCTTTCTAGCTCCATGGATTAGAACCTAGCCAGAAGGATTGAGGAACACATTTCTTCTTGTTTTTCAATTTTTAATATAGTGTGATATGGAAGCGATGGCTCAGTGCCCATCCAGTCAACCCACGGCATTTCTGGCTTTTATTAATTGATGACTGGCCACATAGGTGGGTCCTACTGTGCAAGTAGCCACCTTATCTCAAAAGTTAAACAGGAGAGGCAGATGGATCACCTGGTTCTAGAAATTTGCTTACCAGGTTGCAGTAAATCAACTCACGGTCAGGTCAATCAAATAATAGTGTATCTTCACACCACACGTGGATGAATCTGGGAATGCGTCTTCTCAGCCAGTGCCTGCTACCTCTCCTCCACAGCTCTTCATGGCTGAGGAGAACGTGCCCTTCAGTCAGGAGCCAGAATGAAAGTTGGCAGCAGATCTTAAATGCTTCCACCCCAGAAGCTGCCCTTTTCCCCTCTCTGCTTCCAAGGCTTAGAATCCCTCACCATTCAAAGGCCCCACTTCTGTCTGTCGGGTTCCCCAGACTCCCACCTGAAAAAGGCTAGGGAAGGGCCAAAGCCCCAGGGTGCAGCTTTGCTCCATTCCTCCTTATCTTTCCCTGATTTCCATGGCTTTCCTCTCTCCCTTTCAGCCAGTTTGGTATGTCATTGGTATGTCCTTGTCTCCTCTAGTCTGTCTCCTTCCTGTCCTCGGACTACTTCCCTGAAAGGATGGTACTGAGTGAAGAAAGAAGTGGGATCAAAAAGACAGGCTTGAGCCCTGGCCGGCGTGGCTCAGTTGGTTGGGCATCGCCCCGTGCTACGAAAGGTTCCCGGTTCAATTCCCAGTCAGGGCACATGCCCGGGTTGCAGGTCCCACCCCCAGTAGGGGGTGTGCAGGAGGCAGCCAATAGATGTTTCATTCTCACATCGATATTTCTCTCTCCTCCTCTCCCTTCCTCTCTCTCTAAAAATCAATTTAAAAATCTTAAAAAAAAAAGTTTGAATTTGAAAAATACTGTGAATTTACAATAATACTGCCATCTTCACCAGTTAATGTGAGTAAACACATACTACTTACCAATGTGAAAAAAATGCAGGAACTATTCGGTGAGAACATTGCTGGTTTGGGTCTCCTTCCTTGCCACCGCCAATTCCAGTCTTGGAAAGAGTTATCTGGAACTTTTCCCCCCTGGTTTTAATCAGAATTACTCTACAACTTCCTTCCTGCTGTCAGAGCATGTTTGCAAGACAGGCACCTTTCTTTCTCTCTGCTACGAATTTGAAAGGGTAACCCTTGTTGTAAGGCACTTGCCATTCAAACCTAACTGGAACCTTTCCTTGGCCTCAGCTCTCTTTCCACCCCAGCTCTGACTGTGCTGTGACAGGGAGTTGCTGGTTGTCATTCTTGTCCTTAAATTCTCCCCTTGGTTGTCTCCAACTTAGTCATTTTTTTTTGTCCAGCCTTCTCACAGGTCTCTGTTGTTTGACAAAGAAGTGTCTAGGAATTCTCTAGCACTGAAAGGATGCTGAACATCCTTTCAGTGCTAGAGAAACTAAGCAAGCAAAACTAAGTTTCAGATGTAAAATATTATTTTCAGTTGAGACCACTGTGATTGAGAAACTTGAAGACAGATAACTTTCTGAGTCAAAAGATAAGAAACCGCTAGCAAGAACTGCAGATGTTTGGGGTGGAGCAATTCACGCCCAGCTTCCTAAATGGCCCCTCCAGGCATTCCATTCTACCCTCTTAGTGGTTCTGCATTTCCTTCTGGATAAAAACCCTTCTTAAAGGGCATGTAAGGTCACAGAGATTCACTCCGCTTCTTTCTCTCTCTTTTTTCAAAAATATATCTTTATTGATTTCAGAGAGAGGAAAGGAGAGGGAGAGAGATAGATAGAAACATCAATGATGAGAGAGTCATTGATGGGCTGCCTCCCGCACGCCCCCGACTGGGGATCAAGCCTGCAACCCGGGCATGTGCCCTGGCCGGGAATCGAACCCTGATCAACTGTATCCTAGGTCGATGCTCAACCACTGAGCCACGCCTGGCCGGGCTCCATCTCTTTCTGCATGTGTATCTCAAGGTTCTCTTCCTGGAAGCTGTACTTGAGGTGTCAAAATCATACTGATTTATCCATTATTCGCCTTTGCAGTACTTGAGCTCAGCACCTAGTAGGTTCCCCAAAGAAAGCCTAGCACCATCAGTTACCCTGCAGAATGGTGGTAGCCCCAAATGACGACAGCTAATCAAACAAACCATTAGGCTGGCAACAAAAATGTTACTTTTCTAATAGTAGAGGCACATTCTTCCTAAAAGGTATGGGACAGCATACAATGATTTGATTGAGTGAGTGAGTGCTCACTAGGAGCTGGCGGCCACTATGCTAGACCCTTCACCAACTTCACCTCCTTTACTCTGATCCTGAACCACCCCCTGTCCTTCACCCTACCCCACCCACATCCCATCAAATCAGGTAAGAGTATGGACACTGAAGCCAGCCTGCCTTTTTTTAGCTTATTAATGAGGTAAACCTCTTGAGCCTTAGTCCCCACATCTGTAAAATGGGTATGATAACCATAAATTCTTCATGAAATTGTTATAAGGACTCAAAGTTACTGTATGTTAAGCTTTTAGAACAGCACCTTGCATATAGTAAAGGTTAAACAACTGTGAGCTATTAGTGATGTTATTATTTCAAGAAACTCAAATTTGCCAGATTTTGTGTGTTTTAAAATATTTTCTATATTTTTGGACTCTTAAGACTTTTTGTAAATAAACTAATTTCTCTTTGTCTATTGAAATCACAGGGTTACCATAATCAATCCTACTGAATCTCTGTCTTCCAGCACCCTTTTCTAAGGAATCTGACAAGGGAGAGGAGCTATGCCACATTCCTCTCTGAAAGTAAACAGGAATCTATGCTGACATTGAGAGAACACCTTCAAGGTTAAGTACTAACCAAAAATGAAAGTTTTATGTACATACCGTATATCTCCATATAGCACCATAGTCTATATAAGTGAATTTTTAAATTACACATGTAATACTATATGTATTTATAATTTAAAAACCCACTTATATAGATTATGATGAAGGTTGCACAAACCTGCTTTTACACAAGTACACACACACACACATACAGTATGTGCATTATGTCTCAATAAAGCTGTTTTTAAAGTACTACAATGTAAGGTATTTTATGTAAATAAACAGAAAAGGTCTGGAAGAAAATACACTAAACTTTCAACAGTAGTTACTGTAAGGGGAGACCTGAGATGCAGGCAGGGCTTCATGCGGGTCACTGATTTTTTTATTCTATACACTTCTATACCTGAATGCTTTACAATAAGCAAAGATTGTTGTATTATTATATATTTTGGTCTGTCTTGTTTACTGCCATAATCCTGGCACCTAGTTCGGTTCCTGCATATAACACAGGTTCAATAAATATTTGTCAAATGAATGGATAAATATTGTGCACAAATAGTGTGCACAATAACTTGGTAGGTTTGTGTATGGCACTCTCAAACTTGCTAACTTTTAAAATCCATTTCCAAAGTAAATTTATGGAAGTGATACTTTTCAGCAATTTGAGAACTATTCTTGGAATCCTCTGAATGGGTCCTGGCTTAAAAAATTAAGGCTCTGAAGTTGATTTTTGGCTGCAAAATTTGGCTACGAATGGAATTTCCACAGTATATCTTTTATTCAATCTCTTATAAAGCATATAGAATAATTTATTTTTCTTATCTAAGAAAATGAGATGCTCTAACTGAGGAACTATGTTAAATGATAATTCTATTTATATTTGGTATTGCCTCAAAATTACCTGATTAAAGTATTTTTAAAAAGTAGTGGAAGTAATGTCCTGGCCGATTTGAATCGATGGTTAGAGCATCGGCCCGGGGACTGAAGGGTCCCAGGTTCGATTCAGTTGCAGGCTCAATCCCTGGCCCTGACTGAGGCACATCCAGGCGGCAACAAATCAATGCATCTCTCTCCCCACTTCCACTCTCTCTGAAAAGCAATGGAAAAAATATCCTCAGCTGAGGATTAAAAAAAATAGTGGAAGTAAATCTACTGGTAGGTTTCAATCTAGATTAAAGTCTGTGCTTGAACTTCCCCTCCCTAATAAGCTTATTTTATTTATATTAAGGTAAATTGTATTTTAGATAGGTGTCTAAAATGCTAGCATAAGATTGTCTATATTAGTATTTGCTTTTTTTAATTGACTTTTTAGAGAAGGAGGAAACGGTGAGGGGAGAGAGAGACATTGATGTGAGTAACATCAATCAGTTATCTCTGGTACTCACCCCAACTGGACATTGAACCCGAAACCCTGTGCCCTGACTGCGATCTTCTGATGCATGGGACGATGCTCTAACCAAGCCACACTGGCCACGGCTATATTAGTGTTTAAACGTGCTTACTAATCATGTTATAATTATTTATAATACTGGACATTATTTATCTTGCTGTTTGCTGAAATGGAAGTTACTTGCAATTTTTATTTAATGCATTCATAAATATATAAAATAATAATATCTTGAATTTAATCTTATCTTTCCTCTAAAACAGTGGTTCTTAAAACTTTTGGCCATAAACCCCAAAAGATCTGATGAAAGTGATGAATCTGCACTAGAAAAACATGCACATTTGAAGATGATCCCAAATCCTCAAGTTAATAATTCTTGTTCCAAATCATAGTTTACATATATACTTAACTTAAAATCGTGTAATTTGACTAAGGCTCCTAGCTTTTGTACTGATGGCAACTTTCACATTTAACCTGTAGCCCTTCAAGTGATCAAGTTCTTTTATTAGAATATCATACTCACTTCTCTAGGTAAGAGATAGTAAGTGACTCTTGAGTGATTGGCAGACCGACTTCAGATTCACATTAACCAAACCCCAGTGGCTTTTCGCAGACTTTAATTTTAAGTCAAGTTGTTACTGGACAGGAACCAAGCCCAGAGTGGGTCAGCCTAGGGCCGGCCAGTAGTGTTTGGATTCTTGACTTCATGTAGGAAAAATTTCACAACACGAGCCTAGGTGAGTTTTTAAAAAATGTTTTTATTGATTTCTAAGAGAGGAAGGGACAGAGAGAAAGAGAGAAAGAAACAACATTGAGAGAGAGTCATTGATTGGTTGCCTCCTGTACCCCTCCCCTACTGGGGATCCAGTCCACAACCCAGGCATTGCCCTGACCAGGAATCGAACCGTGACCTCCAGTTTCATGGGTTGATGCTCCATCACTGAGCCAAGCTAGCTGGGCGAGTCCAGGTGATTTTGAGAGTACGTTTATTAAAGCTGGGGACAGTGAAACAAGGAAGGGCTTAGAACAGAAGAAGCAACAGGAGAGGGCCTAGGAGGGCCTGCTTTGACTCACTGGAAAGTCAGAGCAAAAGAGGACTTGGAGACAGGTTTAGGGGGTTAGCCCAAGAATAGCTGCTGCTGCCCATTGCTCCCCTCTTGAGTGTTTTAAAAGCTGGGCGTTTAGGGGAGGTCTTAGGGGAGCAGCACAATAGAATATTCATCAGCTTTATTCTGATGCTCCAAAATGAGATTTACTCCCTTAACTTCATCTGTCCCTTGGGTGTGGTTGGCACAAATGGCACTAATTGGATTTCTGTTCTGTCTTTCCCTGACTATGGTAATTTAAGCTATTTACCTTCTGGTTGGGGAGAAATGTAAACCATTTAGTCTTTTTTTAAAAATTTATCTTTATTGTTGAAAGTATTACAAGTGTCCCATTTTTTCCCAATTGACCCCCTCCACCTCGCTACCA